GGCTCCCCAGCATGGGGAGACCGAAAACTCGCCCCCCCGTCCCCCCCCCCCCCGAGCTCCGACGGGAAATGCCCCACCGGCCCCGGTACGGGGGGACCCACCCCGACCCCCGGTGCCCGTAAGGACAATCGTCCGCGGGACACCGGAGGTCGCCCCCGACACCATGAGGCATGGTCCCGGGAACACGCTGCAGGTCCACGGTGCCCCTCCGGACAACCGTCCGTGGAGCACCGCTTTCCCGCCCTCCCTGGCCGATTTCCGGCCTGGCCATAACTGGCCGCGTGTGGGCTCTTAGTCGGCGGGCACCCCGGAGACATCCGGAGCGCCCGCCTTAAGCCCCATCACCACGTCAAGGTGGCCCACGCGAGGGGGACATTAACCGTGCCCTCGAACGCGGTGGCGATTTCATTAATGATGAAATGTGCATCGTAACCGAACAAATTATGGAAAACTATACGAATAAAATGTGAGTCTTTATAATTTAGGTTACAATTAGAATGTGTGTGCAGGACCTCTATACCGCCCGGTTAGATGACAATGATCACGTACTCGAATGTCGTCTGGCGCAAACGGTTTCTCACAAATATGGCAGTGCGTGCCGCTATTAAATTTTTCACACTGTTCTTTCGAAAGCGTTTCCATGGGGACATTAATTGACAAAATATTTTGCACGCGATGCGCTAAGTTATTAAGTTCGTCCGCGAACCATGTGATGCAATCCTTATCGCGACGGAACCGATACATTGATAACGAATCGTCGTACGAACAGCGCAGGTAATAGGCGATGCTAAATACCTCATGGTGTTGGTACGCTTTTGGATCCGTATCCGTCTTCTTCAGGATGCACTCCAGGTCGGCGTAGATGATAAATGGAACGCGTTCCTTTCTCTCGTAGTTGACAAAACTAGTGTTGTAAAATTTCCTGAAAAATTGCCGCTGGGAAAAAAACCGCAATTTTTCCGGTTTTTTCGGAAAAAAACCGTCATTTTGGGAAAAATACTATTTTCCTTATAAGATACTTCCACAGCTTAGATTTCTCTGTCTAGAATTTTTAGGACATTCTATTTTTTATTACATGTACTTTGTACATATATATATTTAACTTTTTGACGTACCTGTCAAGGCAAGGTTATTATTAATGATTCTTATGATCGAACGGTTTCAAATGAACGCACTCTCTGCAATTTAATACGGCTGCTATGAGCGGGAAGCATACATTCTTACATAAAGGTATAATGCACAAACATACGGAAATAAACTAATCAGAGTTCTTTATTTCCATCGTGGCAAGAAATGTGAACTCTGATTGGTTCATTTCCTTGTGCATTGTGTATTATGCCTTTATGTAAAGTTTTTTATGGTTGATGGTCATTGGTCGAGACGGTCTTGTACTATGCCGGTAGCTATTGCTGCGTTCCGAAATTTACTGCCAGTACTGGAAATCTATAGTTTACGTGACGTATATTATAGGTTTTCAACAGTGGCAGTAAATTTCGGAACACACCCGCCGTCCGCCGTGTCGTGAGTGAGTGTGACGACTCTAATTCTTGTCAACGGATTACATACAAGCGTTGGCCAACCTGTCAAGATGACACGAAGAGCGCATCGCTAATCGCTATCGACTGTTGGAAAATAAGGGTACGATGTACGACGACAGTCTTTGAATGAAAGTAAGTAAGCAAATGCTCGGTGAACATGAGAGTTCTACGTTCTACATTCTACATTCTACATCCTAAGGGTGATGGTAGAGAACGAGGTATAAGTCTGTCGTAGTCGTGGACGTAGGTTAGATTAAGGCAGAGAGAGAGAGAGAGAGAGAGAGAGAGAGAGAAAAGAGAAGAGAGACATGTATACTAGATCTCGTTCTCTGCCATCACCCTAAGAATGTATTTAGACTTGTTACATATATATATATATTTATATATATTCTGTCTATGACGTATATCCGCACATGAAAATATTCACATGCTGCATAACCTATATTTTCTTCTCTTCCAGAGTGCCAAATGGTGTCGAACTGGAATTCAAGATTTATGATTGTTTACAGATCACTATTATGATTATGAGGCCTACTTCAGACGTATGGAATTATTTCAATATGACCTTGTCCCAAAATGGAAAGAGACAAGCCACGTGTAAATATTGCAACACTAAATATGAGTTCCCCAATGCAACAAGAATGAGGAAGCATCTGTTAACGCTTTGCACCAAAATCGCAGCAGATGTGAAGGAAGAAATTCCTGGACATTCAAGAGACTTAACAACTCGGAGTATTCCAACTGTTTTCATCCAAGAGGACAAGGACAAGGACGATCCGATGCCAATAGCAAGTACATCTTCATCCGGAGACGAACATGCTTTAGCTTCAAGATACAGGCAGTCATCACAGGCATCAAGTAGCTCTCTTCCACTTCCACTACCAAGTACAAATAAATTACCTAGTAAGAAATGCAAATTGATGACGGGATATGCTGACTTTATCACTGCTAAAGAGCAGGAGAAAATGGATGAAGCTATTGCACGAGCTGTGTATGCCACAGCTACCCCACTGTCTATATTTGAAAATCTACATTGGCAAGCAGCATTCAAATTGATTCGTCCTGCGTATAAACCTCCCTCAAGATTTTTATTATCTAATATGTTGCTTGAGGCCGAACATGAAAGAGTGCAAGTTTCAATTAACGAAAATATAAACAATGCCAAGTGTCTATGTTTGTTAAGTGATGGCTGGACAAACTGTCGAGGCGAAGGTGTAATTAACTTTATAATTACAACACCTAAGCCAGTGTTTTACAAAGCTATAGAATCCAATACTAATAGACAAACATCAGATTTTATTTTTGAGGAATTTTCACAGGTAGCTGATGATGTAGGTCCGGGAAAATTTATGGCACTCATTACTGACAATGCTGCCAATATGAAAAGTGTATGGAAAAAGTTTACTGAAAAGTATCCACATATAACAGCATTTGGTTGTGCTCCTCATTCAATCAACCTCTTCGCTAAAGATATCTTAAAACTTGATTCCATTAAAGTTATAGTTAATAATACAAAACTGGTGATAAAAAATATTAAAAATAGTCATGTTCCACTTGCTGTTTTTAAGTCTAAGCAAAAAGATAAATATGACATAAAATCTATTGCCCTCAAGCTACCATGTAAAACTCGCTGGAATGCTATTCATATTATGATAGATAGTATGTTATGTAACAAAGCTGCTCTTCTTGAAACAATGATTGATCCTAAAGTGACATTACTTAACTCAGTGAGAAACATACTCGTTGATAATGATAATTATTGGGCCCAATTGAAGTTGATTGAAGAATTGCTAAAACCAATTGCAGTTGCAATTGCTGTTTTGGAAAGTGATTCTGCTGTTATTGCTGATGTACCGCAAGCTCTTGCTATTATGAGGAGTAATATTTTTAATGTATTGGAGAAATGGCCGCTTTCCAACTTTCATGAAATTGAAAAAATTAAACAATTACTCATAAAAAGAATAATATTCTGCTGCAAGTCTATTCATATGGCTGCCAATCTTATGCACCCCTTGTATCGAGGTAAAGTGTTGTCTGAAAGTAACAAAATAAGTGCAATCGAGTTCATTACTCAGCAGTGCCAACACCTCAATCTAGATACAAGTCTAGTGTTGTCCAATCTGGCAGAGTTCAGGACTGATAGCGGGATATGGTCCAAAAAAGATGTGTGGAATGCTGCTGTGCACACCACACCTGCAGTTTGGTGGCGTGGCCTTTGCAAAGATCAGCCGCTCATGCTTTTGGCGTCAAAACTGCATGAAATACCAGCATCATCAGCTGCCTGTGAAAGAGTGTGGTCAGTATATGAGAGTGTCCACACAAAACGTAGGAATAGGCTGACTTGTGATAGAGTAAATAAACTGACAAAAATAAGATGGAACCTAAATCTCTTCTCAGTCTCTGCAGCATGTAAACCTGTTAAGATGTCCCCGTCCCCGTCCCCTCTAGAGATGAGTCAATTTGAGAATTGTATACTGATGGTCGATGTCGATGCAGAAAACAATAATTACAGCAAAGACATAGATTATGAAGTCGAAAAAGATGAAAGTGATAGTCAGGAGGAAACTTATAGCAGTGATTGTGATTCCATTGAATAAAAAATATATTCTTTATGTGATAAAAAAACAACATGCAAAGTTGTGATGAAATTATTATTTTTAACAAATCGTTTTGTTTCAAGTTTAATATGTAATAAAATTTTTATTTTTTATTTGTTAAGAGACATCACTGAGAAGTTCAAATTCCATCAGTAGTAAGCCACTGAAGAGGTTAAAGATAGTGGCTTACCGCTGAAGAAATAAAAAAATTATAATACTATAAGGCTCTTAGTAAACACATTGTGGAACTATAGTAATCGACTATACACACAGTGTCTACACTGTGTATAGTCGATCACTATAGTTAATATCAAGACTGTAATTGTCAAATAAATTTTAATAAAAAAATATGTACACGATTTTGTTCCCCTTTCTATATATAAAAAATGAACAAAATGTGGACTTTTGCTTATTTTTCCTCCTTCTCCATATTAAATATCCATATTAAATCTCCAATTAAATAATAGTGTAAAAATTCAAAATTTTCATATTTTCCTATTTTTCCCAGCCTTGGGAAAAAAACGGTAAAAAACCCGGTTTTTTTCCGAAAATGTCCGGGTTTTTTTCAGTACTCACAACACTAGACAAAACTGAGCCACTTGTTCTCGCTCGGTAGTTTGATCGCGCAGTCGTTTAGCCTTCCACAGTCCACTCTGTGGACTTCCAATCTTTCATTTGAGCTGAAGTAATGTAGACATCTGAAAAATATTAAAAATTTATGTATATCTTTTATAAAAAATAACATATTTTTTCATAAATTTTATTGATACTCACCGATCACAAATGTGCTTTTTGTGCTCCTTTCTGCTGAGTTGAGAACTCACGAGGCGGGACATGTTCTTAATACATGTGAAATGTCCAATATCATCCTGCTCATTCTGCAGATATAGGAGATTCACATGCTTATCCCTCTTTTGGCTGGTGAGT